AGTTAGTGGAACTCGCCCTAACGTCTGGATGGATAAGGCCGACGCGATCCAGCTTGGTGCGAGAGCTTTCGGAGTCGACCCCGCACTTATGGAGCATTGGTGGTATGGTGGCGGACCCCGGTTAGATGATTTGGAGGTGAAATATGGCGACAATTCTACCTTTCCTTCCGCGTATCGAGTACGAGCATATATTGCATACTTGCTCGGAAAGTTGTTGTTCGTGGATAAGAGTGGATCGAAGGTCAGAGCAGATTTTTTCCCACTGTTAGAGGAAATCAATCTGATTCGCGAGTATTCTTGGGGTTCGGCTACATTGGCCTATCTGTACCGACAGTTGGGCATGGCTACGCGAGCTGAGGCGGCGCAGATTGCTGGATGTCTGACACTATTAGAGGTATTATTATTATTATTATTATTATTATTATTATTGTTGTTGTTGTTGTTGTTGTTGTTGTTGTTGTTGTTGCATATTTTATTAATTATGCCGTATTATTATTTCCCGTATTGTTGTTGTTGTTGCTGTTGGTGCTGTTGTTGTTGTTGCATATTTTATTAATTATGCCGTATTATTATCTTACAAGGTTAACTATGAGCCCGGCGATCAGATGTGGAGTATCCCCCACACGCACATGCTTAGTCGAGATTACTATGGTCGGAAGGCGCGTCCAGCTTGGGAGTCGGATCCGGAGTATTTGCCGTGGTATCTAGACCACACTCACGTCCGTGTAGATCCTAGTACCGAGCCGGTTGAGAGAGCGGAGCCATCTGCAGTTCCGGCTATATATGACCTCACCCGAGTGTTGCATCCGTACTTCTACGATAACTTGCCTCCTTCTACTATTCCAGGATATCGGCGTATCCCCGATGACTTCTTCAGGACGATCCAGGACATGTGCGCCCCATTCGCTGAGTATCTTCAGTTGGACCGTGACGATCCAGTAACACATTCATTCCAACAAAATAAACAAAACTAAATCAAACACTATTAAGAATATCCCACATTTCACGTCGACTCCGCAACGCCTCTGGTAGATATGCAACACTATTGTTGCTATACCTCGCCCACTGTCTATCAAACGGAGGAAGCGGACAATTGTCATTCATCTTCACGTACACAAAGTGGCTTCCTGATTCAAGAAATAGTATAGTCATCTCGTAAGATAACTGTGAAACACCTTCGGGAGCCCAAAGTGGTAAATAAGTCTGATTGCCCAAGCTGCTAGCCGACAAGACCAACGCGTTGTAATATGTTGCCACAACCACGCCCACGTCCGTGATAGTCATCCACTTCTCATAGGGTGCTGGGGCGTTGTCCCAATAAGCGACACTCGCCAATACCCGATACACTAAATTACCACCACCGAAATAATCCTTGAAGAACTCTTCGTGTGTTTTAATACAGTTATAAACATCCATTCTAACATCCATCCAATCATCCTCGTGGTTCTTCACTGCACACGCGACGCTTCGATAACCACAATTACCATCCCCTTGAACGTCCGTCCACGTCACAACCTCCGGAACAAGGCAGAAATGAAGGTGTCGCATCCAAGGGGGTCGGGGAATTTGACCTATTGCGGGTCCACTCACGGTCGATGAACGAGCGCGACCACGGCTAGATCTCTCAGAAGATGAACCACGCCCTCTGTTGCCTCGTGATCGTCCTCGTCCTCGTCCTCGCCCTCGTCCAGACTCTTCACCTTCTCCCGGAAATAATGGAAACTCATGCCCTGACCAATCCCTCTGTGTAGAGTTCGTCCGCGGTCTACCTCTCGGGCAGTCTAGTACTTGTGGCGCATTCATTTCCATGGCCCCGGGATGCATTCGTTCAAAAATGGCATCTGTCACGTCCGTGATCTCAATTTCTGACCGCTCACGCAAATCATTCATTAACCCTTCTAGCCTGCCAATAGCCTGTGACCTGTGGTCGGGAACAGAACCAACACTTTCATCTAGGGAATCCCCGAATCCCGAAATAAATGTCCTCCAAAAAATGTGGACATCCTCTGCATAAAACACACCACGTCGTGCATTCATCTTTGCACGAATTTCATGTCTGCATGGGAGTCCAAGACATTTCCTCATATAACAGACGCAACCGTCTATGTCTTCATCCTTCTCATCGTCCAACATCTGCAGAGCATTATGTGTTACAATTCCACTGGACAATATTTTAAATACGGGCACGTTGATCGTCTGGGCCCGAATCCTCTTTGATTTTGCAAAATCGGCTAGTATCTCGTTAAATTGATCTTTCATCATTGAGTGATACTGTGCCCAAAATGTGTCGAAGCCACCCGTGGACGATTCCAACCATCTCTTCAATGCTCTATGGTTGCTCTCCACCCTAATATGTTTAGAATATGCTATGTTTCAATAAACTACATGACAGTAAGTTAAGTATATGTATTTAACCACTTATAAATAAATACCTGCTTGTCGATGTATTACCCAAATGGAAAATTAGATCCGTCCATGCTTTTACAAATTTCTCTTTGTATACGAGCCAAGTGTATTGGAGATACTCAATCAAATCTGGATAATTCGCGTACTCGTCCGTCAAAGCTGTGTAATTCCTGGCGAAATCTTCTTCAGACACTGATTTTACCAAAGTTTGCCACACGCCAACTACAAAAGCCGTGCCGCGACGCCTACTATTGCCGAGACATCTTGAAGCACGACGCCCCACATTCATGTTAATGTGCCAAAGACATAAGAGATGAGGTACGGTCGGAAATACATTCTCTAGCGCCTTTATGAGCCCTAACTCTCGATCCGTCACGATGGCACTAGGTAGAGTCTGAGGGGGGAAAAGTCTCTTCAGCTTTTGCAACACCCATGTGTAATGGTCTTCATTTTCATGGCGCAAAAATGCGACTGCAACAGTAAAATTTTTCCCGACAGGAATAACACCAACAATCTCCAACAAAGGCAATTTGTACTGATTTGTTTTGTAAGTACTGTCAAGTAGTAATACGTACGGAAACTTACTTAACAATTCCACAGATTGAGGGTGAGCCCACATCAAATCAGTAACTGCATGTGTAGTTTCATCAGTGCGGAACCACTTGTAATAGTTATGCTCCTCAAGCAACCCAATCAAATGTTGCATCACTGTACGGTCACCCCTAGATAGTCTTTTCAATTTCGCCTTCTGATTGTATATTTGTTTTGAATAAGCATCGAGGCCCAAACCATTTTGTCTCAAGTTAGCCAAAATCTTCTTGGGCGGCACATGACTTTGTGACAGATCACTAATGATCTTCGCCTCCTCCTGAGACAATGCACTCATCCCATGCCCGGACTTGTATATCGGAACATGATTATGCTTCCCGTATATTACTCTGACCTCCCATTTATCATCCCATCGTAGCTCTCCGACAATATAAAAACCACAGCCTATCTTTTTGCTACCGGTCCTTCTCGGGCGCGCTTCTGGATTAGTTGATGGACATTCTCGTTTTTCCCCGAATAGGTCACAAGTCAAAAAAATCTTTTTTTTAGGACTGCTTCTTTTTACTATTTTCACAAAAGACTCTTGCACGAACCTCACCCAAACCACTACCTCATCCT